GGCTGCTTTCAGACTCTCCCTAATGGGCTTACGAATGGCTGAGCGTGTGGAGGGAGGGAGAAGGCCGTGCCGTCCCCCCACTCCGAGAGACCAGGAGCTCTCCTGGACTCAGGCCAGGCTGTCAGAGTGGGGCTCAGGCCCGGCGTGGTGGCCCTGCTGTGGCAACGCAGTCCGGACCAAGGGCTCCCCGCAAGGGCCCACACAGGCTGCTCTCGGGCCCTGCTCTCCCCCTGCACCGGGAGCACCTGGCCTCCTGCGCTGGATCTGGACCTGGATCCTAGACTCTTGCCCAGAAGCTCAAGAGCACTTGTTCTCTTCCGGGCTGCTGGCTGAGAAGTTCAAAGCCAAATTTGGATCCCTCTCCAGCCCTCCTACGTGACTCTGGCCTTCTCTTACTTTCTCACCTTTCCTTTCAGCCCAATTCCTTGGATCTATTTAATCCTCTGGCACTGCGTGCGTTTTGGAGGGCAACTCCAACCCTTTCTAGAGAGAAGCAAGACAAATACACGAAAGGCTCGTCATCTCCAGTAATCACTCGGGGAGTCACCATCCACTGCGTGTGAGGGGGTGCCGGCCTGTGTGAGGGGCGCCCAGCCCGAAAGACGGGCTGACCTGAAGGAGGCACGGACATGTTCCCGGGAGCAGAGCTGAGCCACCCCACAGGAAGCTGCTGCATCAGCCAAAGGTGTCACCCAGACAATGGACCCATCAGGACAGCCTGAGACCTGGCCGCAGGTGGTATCGGGGACCTGGGACAAAGCACACAACTGCCCACTCTGGCTCTGGGTTCTCTGGTGGGTTCCAATTCATGTAGGGAATCAGAGGCCAAAGAGCAATTCTATTCTGTCTTCCTTGTTGCTTTCTCCTTGCTCTAAGAACAGGAACGCTGGCAGCTGGTCTCCCACCCAGGAATCCACAGTGCCCAGCACCACAGGACACACTCCTGCTGCAGCAAGGCAAGTGTGGCTCTGGCTCTGGGGGCTGCCAGGCCGAGTACTCCTTCCTTCCTGGGACAGCCTCCATCTGCAGAGGCCAACCCAGGAGAGAGAGCAGGAGAGCGGGAGGCCCGCCCTGACTGGACTGTGCGCATCAGAGAACAGCGGCAATCCTATATTCAAGTCTCCACCTGGACTCAGGGATCATTCTCCTATCCGCCCCCCTTCTCCCTAGGCCACCATCCCAAGAACTTCTGCAATTTCTCCACAGTCTGCTGAACGTCATAACCAGCTCCACAGAACATAGGAGGGGGGACAGAGCCAGAGTGGGCCGTGGGGGGGGGGGTAACAGGCAGGTGTCTCCCAGCCTGCTCGACCCAAGCCAGCTGCCCTGTCTGTGGTCTCTGGCAAACCCTGACCTCTCAGCCCAAAAGGCCTTCCCCCTGGGCCCCACAGCCTCCCCTTCACACAGCAGTCCTGAGCACCAGCTACCTATCAAAATCACATAGGCGGGGCCCCCCGGGTGGCTCAGTGGGTTAAGCCTCTGCCTTCAGCTCAGGTCGTGGTCTCGGGGTCTTGGAGCCCCGCATCCGGCTCTCTGCTTGGTGGGGAGGCTGCTTCCCCCCCTCTCTCTGCCTGCCTCTCTGCCTACCTGTGATCTCTCTCTCTCTCTCTCTCTCTCTGTCAAATAAATAAATAAATAAATCTTAAAAAAAAAAAATCACACAGGCAGCCATCACAGGCAAGCCCCAGACCCAGCCCTGGGTGGGGAGGGCAGTTGGGGCTCCAGGGAATACAGGAACAGGAAGGAAACAAGAACGCCAGGTGAGGCCAAAGAGCTGAAGGCCTCTCCAGCCCCGAATTCTCCCGCAGGCCCTAGACTTTTCAGACCTTCTCCACACTTCCACCTGCATGTCCAGTAGCACTCTGACATGTCCAGAACATCACCCCAACGCCATTCAACCTGCTCCACTCACAGCCACCATCTCCCACTGGCTTAGCTAGCAGTCCTCTACCGCTCCCTCCCCTATCCCGTCCTCCAGCAAGCCTGTCAGCCCCTCTTTAAGAGGTCCACAGCCCTGCCATCACCCACCTGGATCAGGGGGGTGGTTTCCCCACCCAACACACAGCCGGAGGAGAAAACACAGTGAGAGAAAGTAGTCAGAAAGCTTTAGAGCAATCTGACATTGCTACAACATCTAATCACTGATACAAAGTATCAGGCTGAGCCCATCCAGAATTGGAAGAGCTGTTCCCTACCAGAGGCAGTTTGAGAAGCTGCCCTCTACCTTCCCCGAACCCACACTCTGTCATACCCCTGCCTTGACCTCACCGGCCACTCTGCCTCACTCAGTTCCCGGCACCTGGGGCCGCCTTCCTGGTCTGCAAACACCCCTGAACACACCCACCCCAGGCCCTTTGCACTGCCTAGAATGCTCTTCCAAACCTTCACACAGCACACTTCTCATCCCCCTTCAGCCTTTGCTCCAACATCACTTTCTCAACGAGGCTTATTCTGACACCGTCCTTAACACTGCAGACCACCTTCCCTCCTCCCCAGGCTCGACTGGGTCATTTGGTTTTTGTGGGCTGCTTCCCAGAGCACTCGTCCTAGAACGTGCTGGATCACGTCTTAGGTTTATTGTGTCTCTTCCCATGAGGAGGGGCAGACGGCTCTGTGCTTTGTGCTTAGGCATACAATAGGAATTCAATACACACTTGTTGAGTGAACGCGGGAACTTGGGAGCCAGAGAGCAGCCAGGGCGGGCCGCACAGACAGCGAGCCTGGGAGCGGCCCTCCGGGCAGACCTCAACACATCTAAGCCGTCAGAGGCCAGCCAAGGACCATGAGGGGCGTTGTCTGCCATGTCAAAGACTGCACTGGATCCTGGGAGAGCCTGGAATCTAGGGGAGCTCTCCAGGTGGACACGGATGGGGGAGGCTAACAGCAAAGAAACCAATCAAGGAAAGTGGACACTGAATTGAGGTCATGGGACTAGAGATGAAGGGACAGAATTCGAGAGGTTTCCAAGGTCAGATCTACAGATGTCTGTGGGAGGTAAGTGGGAGGGAGGAGGTACGGGGAGATCAGATGGACAGGATACATGAAAGGAAGGTCCCCTCAAACATCATTATGATTTCTGTGGGTCAGAGCGGCAGCCAAGGTGAGGGGAGGCTCCCCACAGCACCTGCTCTCCCACGAAGGGCCTTTCTCAGCTATCTGCCCTCTTCCTCATGCCGATTCTGCACCAGTACCCACCAGGCCTCCCCTGCAGGGTCTGGGGTCCCAAGGGTGCCCCCCAATTCGTCTCCCCTACATTGCGGCCTGCATTTCAGAAGACCACTTCCCAAACAGCCAGCATCCACCTGACTCCCCCACTGCTGCTTTCCAAGCCGGTATGTCTGAAGGAAATGGCCGCTGTGCGTACAATCGGCACTTACCTTCCACTGAACGCCTGGTTAGGGGCCAAGGAAGAACAGATAGCCGTCACCAGCCAGGGTCCTGCCCCCCGCAACAGCCTCGGGGACCGGCAGCGTGTGAGATAACCCACGCATTAACCAGGTAAAGGATGACATGGTGACACTGTGTAACACTCCGCCCCAAACTCTTCTGGGACATGAGAAACTGTCAAACAAGACCTACTCGCTTTGATCCTTCATTTCTGCCAGAACCAAAGGAGGTGAGACATGCGCAAGAGCTGTGTACCTGGAGCCACCTGCCCGTCATGTGTGTGCAGGGGAGGTATCCGGTGGAAGAGAAGCAGACGGGACCAAGGCCCGCCCGGTGACACAGGGTGCGGTCCTTCCCAGCCACAGCGGGAGGGACGGCACAGAGGCTGAGGCAGGTCCGCCTGAGGTTAATACACAAACGTCCCAGGAAAGCCAACCTGCCACCAGTGAACCCAAGACTCGAAATAGACCTTCCCAGTTACTGACTCAACCCTGGAGTCCTGGGGAACCCAGGCAGCCTGCCCAAAACAGCCCACAGAGACCTGGGGGAAGAAACTGTATGTACCTGAAAGGCCTCTGCGTGAGCCTTCAGACTTACTTGTGACTGTCTGCACTCTCTGCGGTGCAAGGCTGGTCCTCCGTACAAAATCATGCATAAAACAGTGAGGGGAAGACAGGAGTGCAAAGGAAAACACCCCAGAGCTAAACCCAGTGATCACCCGCATACCCAAGTCAAACGAGCTATAATATTAATGAGGCATGAATGAACCGTAACTATCTCCAGGGCTGAATAAAGGCTAGCCACCTTATCAGGGAAGTCACACAAAGGCTCCTCGTCCGTGCCCCTTCTTGTAGGAGCAGAAGAGAACAGACAGCTTTCTTCTCATTTAGCCAGGCCCCACTTGGGGGCTGGAGTGGACCGGGAACGTTTTCTTATAGGCAACAGGAAAAAAAATCTGTTTTTACTTTAACCTGCAACAGTTGTAGACTCTGACCACCATACATTATTAATTAGTCAAAAGAGAAGCCCCACTTTTAGTTACCCATTGAATCAGGTTATCTTCACTGTGACCTAGAATTGACAGTACAGCTAACTCTCTGTTTACCATGGTAATGGGGATTTCTGGAAGGATGGCAGTTAATTGAGAAGCGAGAACAATCCCATTTTGTCCTCATCAAGGCACGTTATCACTGCATCAAGGACGATGGCTTCCAGCGACTGTCCACCGAGGGCCTCGGCTTTGCCTGGCGTTGTTAGATTTCAACCTCACTTTTCTGGCTCAACAAGCCAAGTGGTGTCTGGCCCCCCCCACACCTGGGCCTGGCCCACAGCAGAGCCCCCTCCAATTTTTCTGGGCGTGGGGACACAGGGAAAAGCAAGGGCAATCACCCTGTGCCTTAGCCAAATGACAGCAGAAGTTATACCAAGTGACAAAGATGGTCAGAGGGGAGCGCCTAGGGAGAAAGGAAGACAGGGCCCTGGGTCCGCGGGAAGCTGGATGGAGAGGCCCAGGAGGAGATAGGGAGAGAGTTGGCTGTACTGGACCCAACAAGCACACCCCCAGCAAGCTGCCCAGCATTTCTAGGAAGGAGAAAAGCAAACCGCCGTCCCACCTCGGGCTGCGCGGTCACAAGTGAGGCAGGGCTGGGACCAGTCGCCATTTGGGCGGGCAGCCAGCCCCAGGTGCGGCAGGAAGGGGTGGCGCTGGCTCAGCGGCTGCAGCTCCTCGCTCTGACCCAGCGGGGCCCCTGCACGGTGCTGGGGACACAGCGAGGCCTCGGGCGCTGTTGGGCAGGGACACACACACACATACACACAGAGAGAGACACGCCATTAGAGGGAGTGGGAGCGGCAGAGTGTGGGCTGGGGCCGAAGCCCCAGGCGCTCAGGGGTGGCCAACAGTCTGCTGACCACATTCTGACCCTGAACATGCAGCTCAAGCTCAAGGTCTGAGGGAACCGGAAACTGTGAGAGCTGGGACCGTGGCAGCAGCCATCAGCCCAGTGGAAGGCTGGCAGGACCTGTGACTGGAGCCCGATCCGGATCCTGCACCTGGACTATCCCACAAGCTATCAATGAATGGGATGCTGTCTCAGCTCCTGCTTTGTATCCTCTGGCTTCTCAAGAAAAGTGACCACAAAAGCGATGTGGAAAGCAGAGCAGCTGCCCATGGCGGGACAGCGCAGACGCAGTCACTTCCCAGAGGCAGCTTGAGACCGACTCAACCCACAGCGGGCCTTTCTGGGGGACGGAGAGGCTACATGAGAGAAACAACTTCCCTCCTTATAGGGCAATCTTCATTCCGGGAGGCAACCTGGCCCTGGCGGAGAGGCAGGTCACAGTTCATATCAGGCAGTTTCCCGAAGGTCACAATCTTTGCTTCAACAGAGCAGTTCAAACTAAGAGGGAAACAACAGTAACTAGAAACAGGACAAGAAAAATGCTAACCTCTCTGAGCCTTTCGTAAGAATTTGGAATTCCTAGAGGCAGGAAGTCTGCCTTGGGGATGCAAATCTCCCAGCCGCCACATCTCTCGAAATGCTGCTGGTGGCAGTAGGGTGTCACACGGAAGCCCGCAAGCAGGAAACACTAGTAGGTGGCCTGGTCACAGAGCCACCAACTAAACAAGGGCCAAGGGGAGTCTGCCAGGCGACAAACAACTTCCTTAAAACGAGAAAAAAATGTGCTGTTATGGCGACACGGTGTTACTGACTCCAGAAAGAAAGGTGGTATGGGGGCCTTCTGTTGTTTCAGCCAGAAAGACACAGTGTGTGCGCCACCCCCGCACAGGCCACCTGTCTTGACACTGCCCTGGGACAGCAGAGGGGCGCCTGTTCCCAGGACCACTTTTCGTGAATGCCCAGGAAGCCCACACGGCTCACAGAGACCAGCTTCCATCAGGCCCTGAACTCCACATCTCTTCCCTGAAATTTTGTCTGAATGTGGGGTAAGGACCCCTCAGATTCCCACATGCACAAATGAGCAAACAGAGCGGCCCCACCCAGAGCAGCCCCAGCCATGCAAGCAAATCACCAAGAACGCTCATCCCCATGTCGGAGGAGAAGGCCTTGCTCACACGGACCCCTGTGGAGCTTTCTGCCCTCTCCCTCTCTGACTGAGACACAGACCTCCCGTCTCCCTCCCCTGGGATGCTGAAGGAGAGTGATGCCCTGGGCCAGTTGGGAGACCCACAGCCCAGGCATCAGAACAACATCTAACAGATTAAAGAAACAAGGTTATCAAGAAGGAGCATCCATTTCCTCCTACCTACCAATCACCGGGCTCCAGCCCTGCCCAAGGGTCCTGAATCGGACCACAGGGCAGCGGAAGGTCTTGAGACTCCTGAGCCAGAGCAGCCAAGGGACCCAACACCCTCCTGCAACCATAAATGGGTGCAGACCACCGACACTGTTTTCCGGACAGCCAAAAGTGGAGAACGGAGGACAGACGCAAGCTCTGGCTTACCCCAGGGGCACCCACCCTGCCCACCGCCCAGCGCTTCCGTCTGTGCCCGGCACCCTCTGGCAAGGGTAGGGAGCGTTTCCATTACTCACAGCCGTGGTAGGAGGCTGGAGACCCCCCAGCCTTGCCGTACTCCTGCTCCGAGTAGCTGGTGGACAGGTTGGGCTGGCTGGAGCCGCGGCCAAAGGTGATCTGGTTGCTGCCCATGCCCGTGGCGACCTGGGCCATGCGCTCTTTGGTTTTGAGAGCCTGGGCCCTCTCGGCCTTCAGCCGCTCCTCGTCCTTGAGGAGGCCTACCAGCTGCTTGGACTTCTCGCGCACATTGATGCCCTGGTCCTTGCCGTCACGGTCGATGTACTGGAAGTCCTTCAGGGTCTGGATGGCGAAGATGTTCTCCCGGCACTGCTGGGCCACCCGCTCGGAGCCCGTCTTGATGAGGTAGTCCAGCAGCGTCAGCGCCTTATACACGTGCCGCCAGTTCTTGCCGTGGTCATTGAGGCGCTTCCACACCATGCTCATGATCTCCGAGAAGGCCACCACATTGTAGGTCAGGTCGGCGATCTCGGTCATCAGGGAGCTGGACGGGCCCCACGGGTCGTTGGAGGTGGCTTCCCGCACTTTGATTTCAGCTTCCGAGTAATTGTTCACAATGTTTTTCATTTGCCGTCTGATAGAGGAAGTCGCCATTTTCACGTTTCTTTGTGACAAATGTCAAGCCCTTCAAAGACAGAGACGCTCCTGTACTGGGCAAGTTCGTGCCCTGCGAAGGTTCAGTCTCCGTGACAGGCGTGGAGCACGAGCCTGGGCAGTCATTTCCTCCACTGAAGCCTCAGGTCCGAGGAGCCAGAAGCCATGACCTAGAGAAAGAAAGAAAGAAACACTCCCTGTAGCACAAGCTCCCCCAGGACAGGAGGAGGCTTGGCTCAGCCCTTTCTGTAAAAGGCAGGTACAGAGGTCTGGCAGGATCAGGGGCGCGGGGATGAGTGGATATGCCCCAGCCTCCAGAGGAGGAAAGAGATCCACCTTTTCCAAAATTACAACAAAATCAGTATTACAAGTTAACAGTGAATAAAATCTAAACTTGAGGTCAAGCCTTTGGCAAACAAGTAAACATTTTGACCGTTGTTCTAATTTTCAAAACACTTCCACTGGCATGGCTCTGCTCTGGGTTGTATTTTCACGCACAGCAAAAGCCAGTGACAGAAGAATCCTAACACTGGAGGCAGTCGGTCCTGACGAATTTTAAATTATCTGTGGGAGCAAGAAAGCCCCTCATTTCAGGTGTAGCTTACCTAAAAAATGCCCATCAATACCTCTTTCCCTTTTTAAGTAATCTACACCAACACGGGACTTGAACTCATGACCCTGAGATTGAGTCACATACTCTTCTGACTGAGCCAGCCGGGTGCCCCTAAGATGCCTAACTATGCCTTTGAAATTGTTCAACGTCTGGCCTTGGTCCACTGTGTTCCTACCTGCCCAGGACGTTTTCTGTGAGCACTTTTCTCCTGACTTTTTATGAAGGTTTCCAACTACTCTGGCAGAGCACAGCCAAGGCCTTCTGCTGGGCTTTCGAGGTCTCCAGCACCCGGCCTGAGCTCATACAACCCTAGAAAAAAATCTGGTTCTAGCCCACTCCCCTCATCTCAGAGGGGAAAAACTGAGGCCCTGGGTTACACAGTAACGGGTCCACCCAGCCCTCCCCAACGAACGCAAATCCCCTCTCTCCAGAGAAGAAATATTTACTGGGGTAGAGCTAGGTCCACATCTCTGACAACCCTGTTTGGTCCAAAAGTGTTGTCCTGTTCACCAGTGACCACCCAGCACCCAACACTGTCACTGACGTGGACAGAAATGGTGCTGAATAAATTTACAAAACAGATTGAAAACAGTGTCCCTGTCCTCAGGAAGGCCACAGTCTGGCAGGGGATAGAGGTGAGCACAGGGGGTCTGAGGATGCAAAGCTTGAACCACCAGCTCCACCGGCAGCTGGAGGCTGTGAAGGCAGGCATGGGAAGGAGTTTCTGCCAGAAATAACTCTCGCAGTTATGTCTTCAAAGCTGAGGAGGGCTTGGCGTGGGAGGGGGGTGGGGTGGGGGTAATGCAGATTATCCCTCATCTATAAAATGAGAAAACTAAGGTCCAGAAGACTCGGGGATTGCCCAAGACAGAGCAGCACAGCTGGAGTCTGGACACAAAGCAAGCGCCCTCCCCTTGCCCATTCCCCAATCCTACCTGATGGACACATTCTGGGCTTGGGCCAGACTCTACCTCACTTCATGCTCATGAAAACCCTCCAGTAAGGTAGAGATGAAGAGCAGGAGGACCTCAAGTCACAAGGTCAAGCTGACTAAGGTCTCCTCCTCCAAAGCAGCTCTCTGGGCGGTGTGGGGGGTGTGGGGGGTAGCACCTGCTCCCTCCTCCTGCAGTGGTCCTCGCTCTCCACACCAAGCTCCTGTGCTGCTTCTGCCAGGGAAACAGCCGACAGCCCCCTCCTTCCTCAACTAAAGCCTCAGGCAGGCAACAGGAACATCAAAAAAATAACGAAGTAAATGTAAATTGTTGGGGCTGGTGGTGGTGGCGGGGCAGGGGGTGCAGAGCCACAGGAAACGCAATGATCACTTACCACATATGACCATACAAACAAGAGACAGCTCACACAATTTCATCCTGCTGACAACCCATACATCTGCTACGGTGAACACAGCCTCCACTCCAGCCTCAACTATGCCAAGAATTCTGTCTCCATCCGAAGCTGCAGAATGGGGCTTCGGCAGAAGGTGGCCGTATTCCATCTCCCCACGGATCCGGCCTGCTCTGATAAACCCTCTAAAGCCTGTCAAAGGACAGGGATAAAGATTTTCACGGTGACCTGCACATTTGTTTCAGTTCGGTTTTTCATTCACAGCAACCTTTGCCACTGGCAGAGATGGGATGGGCCCCAGAAAGCAAAAAAGAACCCTTTGATTTTTAATGAGCATCGGCCAACTTACGGCGCAAATACTCATCAGAATCAGGAGTCACATTCAGGTGTGCTTAATGCCTAGGGGCCACCAGGCAGTTCCATTTGTCCCTCCATCTGGTGTGCAGCAGGTACAACCATCCCACCCTCTGAGAAGCAGGAGGAGCTGGGATCCGCCGCTGAAGAGGTCCTCTGCCACCCTCCTCCAGGTCAGGAAGCAGCTCTAAGCATGACAGCACATGGTCCTCCTGGTTAAAAGGCCTCAAATGGTTAGAACTATAATGAGAAAAAACAAAAACAAAAACAAACAAACAAAAAAATTCCCGAGGAAGAAACAATGCCCCAGGCTCTGCTGCCCTTCTAGTCCAGCCACCTTGGGCCCAGTGTCCTCCTCTGGAGAGGTCAGGGGGAGGCCATGAGGCTCAGCCAGGGCATCCACCAAGCCTCCTGGGCCTCTGGTGTAAAGAAAAGGCACCAATTCCTCTGATCAAGGGCTGGAGCGCCCTCGGCCATGCCAGACACAAGCTGGCAAAGGAATTTCAGACAACCGAGAGCCCAGGGCTGTGGACCTAGGCAGGGGTCTTCTCTAACAGGCTCAACTTGCAAAGACATCTGTTAGCACTCTCTTTGAAATGTTTAGGCCTTAAGAAGAAGGAAAAAGGTAATAAAACATTTCTTACAAGTCAGAAAAACATATAAAGCCCGTATAATTGGAACGGCTGCCTGCCACTTTCTGAAAGCTATCGTAGACCAGAGCGGCTTTCAGGATGGGCACACGGTGAGAATGGGGAGATGTGGGGAGAAGAAACTCCCGACAGGAGAAAGGACACCAAAGGCGCCTCCACGAAACCATTTCCTAGGCCAACCAGGTGATGCACACCTCACAGGGAGACTCTGGAGATGGACACCGCCAATTCCGGCCGTGAGAGAAGCTGGCGACACGGGAGCAGGCGGCAGGACCGAAGCCCCTGCTGCATGCACTTGAGGCTCTCCCAGGCGGCCCCAACTGAAGACAGGGACGTGGGCGGCTCCGTCGCACTTGTCCATGTGGGCCTCAGACCTTGCTCTTCCCATTTTAAAACTTCTCCCCTGTCCCAACCTCAGGACTGGGCTGTCAACACCTAAACATCTCCTCTCCCAGCAAACATCTGTCAGGCACGTCCTCCCAAAAGCCAGGCTGAACACACTCCGCCCTCAAGCATCCACCCTGCGCTATTTCCAGAACCTAAGTTTCGTTTTGTTTTTGCTTTTTTGAGCGGTGTGTGTGCCCTGCCTTCCGAACTTTCCCTCTCAACCTGCCAGTTTTCTTCCCTTTCCAGCTGAGCCTGAAGTAACCAGCACAGGACCATGTGTTACCTCCTGGGCTCCTGACTCCAGCTGGGGAAGCTGTGGTCGGCTCCCAAACACCCAATCATTTATAAGGAGCTTCTGCTCAGATATGGGGAAGGTGTAGGGGGCTGCCAAATCACGGGAAAAATAAACTTTGTTAAAGGTTTAAGACCAAGGGGTACCTGGATGGTTTAGTAGGTTAAGTGTCTGCCTTCTTCTCGGGTCATGATCCCAGCATCCTGGGATCAAGCTCCGCACTGGGCTCCCTGCACCTCGGGAAGCCTGCTTCTCCCTCTCCCACTGCCCCTGCTTGGGTTTCCTCTCTCACTGTCAAATAAATCTATAAAATCTTTCAACGAACAAACAAACAAACAAAAGGTTTAAGACCAAGACAGCAAAAAAGAAAGGAAAAAAAAAAGAAGGGGGGCTCATTTCCATAAATTACATACCAACAACTTGGGACAAATGCCATCAGAACATCTGAACCAGAAACGCCTTAAGAAATGGAAGTTCCATCAGGGCATTGGGGTGGCTCAGTTGGTTAAGCATCCGACTCCTGATTTTGGCTCAGGTCATGATTTCGGGATCATGAGATCATGCCCCACACCGGGCTCTGCACTGGGCATGGAGCCTGCTTACTTACGATTCTCTCCGCATCTCCCTCCCCCCATTTACCTGTGCTCGCTCTAATAAGAAATTTTAAAAATTAAAAAAAAAATAAAAGAAATTGAGTTCTATCATCAGGAATTACGTAGAACTATTTCACTGTAAGTGATAAAGTTTGTACAATTCTGTTACAACTTTAAATATTTTCTGAATGGAGACAAGTTAGAATTTCTATTCAAAGCAACACATTCTTCTGCACAGAGGCCAGAGGACGTCCATTTAGTTCCCTGGATGGTATGACCAGGGGCCCCCCCACAACCCCCGCCCCACTCCAGCCCCAGCCTGAAGAGCATGTTCCACAATCGTATTAATCATTCATTTTATTAAGAATCAAGGCTTCGGGGCGCCTGGGTGGCTCAGTGGGTTAAGCCTCTGCCTTCGGCTCAGGTCATGATCTCAGGGTCCTGGGATCGAGCCCCGCATCCGGCTCTCTGCTCAGCAGGGAGCCTGCTTCCCGGTCTCTCTCTGCCTGCCTCTTTGCCTACCTATGATCTCTGTCTGTCAAATAAATAAAATCTTAAAAAAAAAAAAAAAACTAAAAAAGAATCAAGGCTTCTAATGCACATGATGACCACCAGTAACCTCGCTGAATTGATAAAATTTTAAAAACGGCAACAAAACTGAACGTTTCAGCTGGCTTGGGGAAGTCTCACCATGGGCGATGCACATTACTGTCAGGCCTTCCAAAAGACCCTTGGGAGCTCTGGATCAAAAGCCACAGTCGCTTCAGTATAGAAGGAAACGCTCATTTTTCTACAGTCAGGCCCCAGTACTAGAAAAGTTTCTTTAAGCCGAAGAAATATTTCATTTCTGTTCTAGAAATGGAATCTGCTGCCTCTGCCTATGCAACATCCATATCCCCTTGTCTCAGAAAGATCCTTGGTCTTCCACGGGGGAGGT